TGTGCCCCCCAGTGACTCCTTACATCGTGTCGCGATACTTGTTCTCGTGTTGTTTCTGTTTCAGAATAAACTTGTCCTCTGTAACTAAGGTTCTGTAGTGTAATGAAGATGACTTTCCTCAAGGAGGAAGAAGAAGAAGAGGAGTTGCTCCCCACCACCACCACTGACCTCAGAGATACAGAAGGGCAGTGGACAGTGGGGAAATTATGCTGAATAGCGCACTCCACCTCACAATGAACATGGACATGTCCCTGCAAACATAGTTGAATCTTAGAGTTTTAAGAAACGTTGAATGAGACTTTCTTAGTATATTCAATATGCAAAATATTTTCGTAGTAAAGAATAAATAAGAGACTGTAAAAACGGCATGGGGGAGGTATCATCTGACCTCCTCTGACCTCACAAAGGGTAGAGAGAATCACCATCAGTAGCAGTCCAAGCCCAGTTCCTATGAGGCAGAGGTCAGACGTGCCACCACCCTCCAAACTTTCTACCAGTTCTGACACCAAACGTCCCTCCCAAGGCACTCACTACTCACTATTTCACTGTTTTGTTGCAATGACCACGCAGAACTCACAGACATTACTCATGATTATGGGGTTTATTAGGGAAGAAACAGGCTACAATTCAGGATCAGAAACCACTCAGAAGACAGTTCCTCAAGCAGGACAGCTTCTTCTCAGCCGTAGCACAGGCTTGCTTGTCTCTGGCCTTGGCCTCTGTCCTGCTCGGGCCAGTGTTACAGACCTCTTTGTCTCTGCTAACAGGTGCCCAGAGATGAACCTCACCCTGCCAGCAAGCCTCCTGCCCAAAGACACTCAAGTGTCTTGCTCCGTGGGCCGGGAAGCCTGCCGTTCTGTCTCTTGTATCTGTTCATTCTGCCACCTCTGCTTCCAACATCTCTCTGCTATCTCAGTGCAAGAATCTAGGGTCCAAGGATGCATTCCACTCCCTGCTCTGGTTGGCCATAAGATCTCCTTCCTGCCTCTGGGAGGGCTCATTTTAAGCCTAGTATGATGGCAAAACTGCCCAATCCCCATGTTAGGGTTCCATACACTTTATTTCCATGGTCCCACCCCCACAGTGGTGCCATGTATTTTATTTACCTTATTAACAAGGTATCCAAGCCCCTTCATGGGCCACAAACGCCTCATATTTGCATAGTGCCACACAGTCGTCTGCTGGGTGTCACACAGACAATGGCTAGAAGAGCCACATGTCCACAGGGGGTGGTGCAATAGATAGAAAATGAGCTCAGGAGTCCTCTACACTGGACCCAATATCAGTCAACAATGCCGCCATGTTGTGTGACCCTTGGTAAAGTCACACACTCTTTGAGTTTTTCCTATTTTCTACTCCACAGAACTCACAAGTGTGAGTTCCTATACTTGCTGCAAATGAATCTATCATTTTTGTTGTTGTTCATTGACTATGGTCATTTTGATGCTAATTCTGCATCCAAAATATTTCTGAAGCTATACTTTTAGTAACTTTCCCAAACCCCAATGTCATAATTTCTCATACGCTTTTGTCCTTCCAGAATCCATCCATATCTACCCATCTGTACTTGGTTTCCTTGTCCTTGTCCCTTGTCTCAGATGTGGGGCTGTGGGACTATGAGGGGAAATATTTGCCTACCTAGAAATGGATCTAACCATTTTCAAGTCAAGATACATCCCTGAAATGGTAGAGAACAAATAAAGCTTCGATCCCACGGTGAGTCATGCCGAGTTCTTCCTCTCTTCTTCCTCTTCTTCTCTCACCCAGGGTCGTCTTCTTTTCATTATATGGCAGCATAACATCTTTCCCCATCACTGATCATAACTACAATCATGTACCATCAACACCTAGGAATCACCTCTGGGAGTGAAGAAGTTTCATGAGGGTACAGAGTAGGCTCTTGCTTCTGTTTGGGCTTAAACTACAAGGCTGGGTTATGGAGGAAGGGTTTATTTACTTTTTTAAATAGTTTTGTAATTTTTTCCCACTTTGAGCATAAAGGAATGGGCAACATCAAAGACCTGAGATGCAGGCCTACTCCTTCACATAGTTTCAATGAGTGTTGAAAATCTGTGTTTGACCAATCTCAAGTCTAAGTATCTATCACAAAAGATGAATTATGAACTTATGTAATCTCTTTCAAATACTCATTGCTAGATTGAGTGAATTAAAAAAAAGGTAGTGTCACACAAGAGGTGGTTAGTTACATTATGGTACAAGATTGAAATGTGTTACCAGGAAGCCATTCAACATTGTGGAAGCATATTTAATGATGTGGAGTGCTTAAGTGGGAATTGTGCTATGGAGAAAAGGAGAGAGGAGGAAAGGGAGGAAGGGAGGGAGGGAAGGAGGGAAAAGTAGAGAGAGAGGAAGAGAAGGAGGAAGGGGAGGGGAGGGGAAGGAAATGAAAGGGAGGGAAGAAGGGGCCAAGGAGAGAAGGAGAACAAAACCTGACAAAGGATATTTGGAAAAATCACATGCCAACTCTCTCATGAACCTACATCCAAAAATCCTTAAAAATTTTCTCAATCCAAATCTAGAAATATAGAAATGATCATATAACATGAACAAATGGGATTTATTCCAGGAATGTAAGGTTGGTTGAATATTCAAACAACAATTTGTTTTGCCATAAATCATAGAGCTAATGAGTAAAATCATATAACAATCTCAATAGTTACAATAAAAGAATTTGATAAAATTCAGCATCATTCATAATTTAATCAAAGCCCAAGCCAATTGAGATGGAAAGGTAACTTACATAGATTTATATTCAATAGCTTGCTGGTATCTCTCACTAGACCAAGGCTCACAAGAATACAACGCTTCTTCCCTAACATTTGCTTCAAAGGCTTGGAGGACATAATGTGTCCATAAAAAGTTGTTTGTGGTATTAATCCACTGAGTAATGTATCATGATTTCTTGAATCACATCAGTAGAATATTAGAGAAAGTGGGCTGATTGTGGTTGGATTTCTAGAGTGCTTGGGTGAATTTGTTAACAATACTAGAAAGGGCTGGATAATCATAATAGCATCCCAGAGCAGCTAGGAGTTTTCTAAGGGACTCTAAAATTTCAGAGAAGACCCTACAGGTCTCCAAACTCTAGTTGTTACCTCGGAGACAAATGGCTGGGTTTGAGAAGGTAGGACGATGTCTATGCAAGAACTCCTCCAGATCTCTCCATTCGTGCTCTGAGGCCAGGAGTCAGGCCGTGATCTGGCCTTAACGTGGAGACAATTCCATGTATGCACTGGAATCAGCCGGGGAGTCCTTAGAAGTGGGAGTGACTTTTTTCTGATTGAGAATCCGAGGATTCAACTCTGCGTATGTCACCTCTTGTGGGCCTCCTTCTTCAGGGTCCTGGGAAGAGGTAAATGGTGAGTAGGGTGGGCACACATTTATGGGAACTAGGAGGGAGTGGGGCTGCATTGAAGAGAACAGGTTGAGGAGGACCCACCTCCTTATTCACCATTCTGTCCACCTCAGGCTCTCTGTTCGGTGTCACGGCATCTGTAGTGGACAGAAGTTATCAGAACATCTCAGAGGAACATCTGGATCCTCATTGCATAGATACAGATTCCAACACACAGAGAAGTGCAGTAGGTTCCTGAGGTTATTCAGCTCCCCAAAAGTGGAGTGAGAATTCTGTCTCTCTGAACTCAAAGGTCCACCCCACTAATGACTCCATCTTTCCATCCTATTGATTCTGTCTCCTACTTTCTTCCTTACATAGCTTCTTCTCCTAGATGTCTGTGGTTGCACTGGTTGTGAGAAGGATAAAAAAAAAGAAAAAACCTCACTGCTGTTGAGTCGGATCTGACTCATACCAACCCCTCCTTGGGTTTCTGAGACAGTATCACTACAGAAGTAGATTGCCCAACCTTCCTTCTGAAGAGTAGGTGGTGGGTTTGAACCACCAGCCTTCTGGTTAGCAGTCAAATGCCTTAGGCACTACACCACCAGAGCTCCCGTGAGAAGGATATGGTGGAGAATTAGGCAAAGGTCTGTGAGCTCAGGGGTTGGGCAGAGGCAGCAGTGCTCTTTCTAGAAGGTTCTATCTCTGTGGCTCCTACATCGAGCCGGATATCAACCTGCAAAGGGAGAATATACATCTCTGCACTCCCATTCCAACTCCCCTCTGTTAAGAGGACACCGGCCTCTCCTTCCCAAGACTTACTCTTTTGAGGAAGGCACCAGCGATGAACGAGGAAGACAGTGAAACTGACAAGGAGGATGATGAGCGCTGAGAGAGCAAGGAGAACGTGCAGAAGTCTGGAGTCACCTGGGGGAAGGCGTGAGTCGAGTAAGAAGCGAATGAGTTACGAAATATCAGAAATGACAAGTTCTACTGAGCCTTATACAGCCTCCCTTCAGCTATTGTACAATCTGACAACCAGAGAGGGAAGGCGACTAGGCCAAGATCACAGAGCTGGGAATGGCCCAGCCAACACTTGAAATCAAGGCTTCTCTTTTCCCAGACTTCCACAGCATGGACAAGAGGTCTGCTTTACTCACCGGTTTGGTAGCTGGATCCTGTGGGTGATGGGGGACTTCTGGGAGACTCTTCTGAAGAGCAAGGCAGGAGAGAGTTGAGATGGAACGGGCTTTCTTTCACCCCAGTAAAGCCTGGCCACCGCCCCTTTGACGTTGGTTCACAGCTCCTCTGACTCCAGGTCCCTGTGAGTACTGGGTCCCCTCCCCAATCTTCAAACGGACAAGTCTTTCTGCTCCTTCCCCCTCTTCTCTTCTCCCCCCTCAAGCCCTATGTCATTCTGGGTTTGCATGTATGTTTCTGTTGTTGTTGTTGATATGTGCCGTCGAGTCGGCCCCGACTCACAGCGACCCCTCCTTGGGTTTCCGAGGCAGTATCACTACGGAAGTAGATTGCTCCATCTTCCTTCCGAGGAGTGGCTGGTGGGTTTGAACCGCCAGCCTTCTGGTTAGCAGTCAAGTGCCTTAGGCACTATGTTTCTAGGTCCCTGCTTTTCACTGACTCTACTTTCTCTCTCATTGGCTCTCTGTGAGGGCTTTTGTCCGCAACAATCCTGTAACATCTGGGGTCACCTTAGCACATGGACCTGAAGAGCTAGTTTCAGGACCCACAGAGCACACACCCACCACAGGGGTGTGTGTTACAGTTAGACTCCTTCACTTGGAACCAATACCCTGGGTCATTATGGCCCAACCACAAAGAAGGAAGGTTTATCAGAATGAACGCAGTATCTGTAAGTCTCCCCTGGGCTGAGGTCACTGGGGTCATGGGGGTCAGCTCTGGATTAGACTAATTGACCCTTCATCTCAAGTCAGATACATGATTTGTCCTTGGGTTCTCCTGTTAGAGAACAGAGTGTTGAGTTAAAATGGAAAACTGCATTTCTAAACCACTCTAGGTCTCTACACAGACTGAGAGGGGAAGGGTACTCTCTTCACATGTAGACTTATCTGTATCTCCCATCTCCTCTCTTTATCCCCATTTTTTGTTCCCTTCTTTCAGTTCCTGTGTCCAAGCTTTACGCTATAACAAATTATCATTTTTTTTCCCCTCTGTTTTTCTCTCTCACCAGGTCTGTCTCTCACCATAAAAAGCCCTTGTCTCATGTCACTCATCATGACCTGGGACTGGCAACCTTTAGACCATTCAGTCTGTGTCTGACAGAGGACAGGAGTGATGGGGACAGGTCTGAGAACTCTCACCTTTGATCACGAGCTTCATGGGGTCACTGGGGGCCGACCAGGTGTAGAGGGAGTGCCTGAGAGAACCGTAGCATCTGTAGGTCCCCACATGGGCTGACGTCATAGCACCCAAGGAGAAGTCAGCCTGGGAGCTGCCACCATGGAATCTCTCAACAAGGCTCAAGGGGTCCTTGGGTTCCTCCTCTTTGTGGAGTATGTAGGTGTCAAACATGACCTCTGAGCA